GTGGGTCCTGGTGAGTCCTGGTGGGTCCTGGTGAGTCCTGGTGGGTCCTGGTGAGTCCTGGTGGGTCCTGGTGGGTCCAGGTGAGTCCTGGTGGGTGCTGGTGGGACCTAATGGGTCCTGAAGGGTCCTGAAGGGTCCTGATGGGTCCTGTTGGGTCCTGATGGGTCCTGTTGAGTCCTGAAGGGTCCTGGTGGGACCTGTGAAAACCTAATGGGTCCTGATGGGTCCTGGTGGGACCTGTGAAAACCTAATGGGTCCTGAAGGGTCCTGAAGGGTCCTGATGGGTCCTGTTGGGTCCTGATGGGTCCTGTTGAGTCCTGATGGGTCCTGGTGGGACCTGTGAAAACCTAATGGGTCCTGATGGGTCCTGGTGGGACCTGTGAAAACCTAATGGGTCCTGAAGGGTCCTGAAGGGTCCTGATGGGTCCTGTTGGGTCCTGAAGGGTCCTGTTGGGTCCTGAAGGGTCCTGTTGAGTCCTGACAGGTCCTGATGGGTCCTGTTGAGTCCTGAAGGGTCCTGTTGAGTCCTGACAGGTCCTGAAGGGTCCTGTTGAGTCCTGACAGGTCCTGATGGGTCCTGTTGAGTCCTGAAGGGTCCTAATCCTAATTTTTTACTTAGTCAATCTAATTTCAATGTGCAGTGGAACTCCAAAGTGTCTTTTTGAAAAAGAAGAAACCTTTTCTTCTCAGGAGGATTTATTTAAAAAGATGTGCACTAATAAACATGACTTGTTGAATGTGTGACAACAACCCCATCAGGAAGGTGTTGCTAGCAGCTAGCATCACATGTTACAGTCAAAAAACCATTCAGACCACAGCTCTGCCTTTCTACTTTCAAATACCAGTACGTGTTTAATTTTAAATCCACTGGTTAAAGGCAGTTCAAAAAGATCAGAAAAATAATGAAAAATTTCATCATGATGTGAAAAACACAGAAAGTCCTCTGATGTCACTGGATGATGTCACTGGATGATGTCACTGCTAAAATAAAAACATTAGTCTGTGACAGTTTGTAAACTCACACAAACATCCTGTAACAACTCAACAACTGCGACAACAACCTGTTCTCACTTATACTTGAGTTTAAGTACATCAATACCAGGCACCATGTACTTGTACTGTACTAGAAAGTATACAGATTTACTTGTTTGTACTAAATTGGGTTTTTTTAAAGTTTATAAAAAAGTATACTTTAAGTATACTATGTTTTTTAAGTTTAKAAATTTACCCAAAAGTATACTTTAAGTACACGTCATTAAGTATACTATAGTATATACAAGTGTATTTCCCTAAGTGTACTTTTATTTACCGTGTACACTGATATAAATATACTAGCAGTTTACTAACAAGTATACTTCCAGGACTAAATTGGCCCACAATAAGTTTATGAAAGTACTCAGAAGTATACAGAAAGTNTCTTTCTGGTTCTCTTCCTTCATGATGGTTTTGATTGGATAAAAGCAGCGGTGGTCCTAAACCTGAAGCAGACCTGTGTGTTGTGTGTCCTCTTCTGTCCAGTAAACAGTTTGTGGTGGAGGTGCATGGACCTGAGCATGTCGGGACMGTTTCTGTCTTCATCTTGGTGGTTTTTCAGGGTTTTGGGGACATTTTGACCTTTCTGTCTGTCCTCCTCAGACCTGTCCTTCATCACCACCTGGCCGTTCCTGTGGAAGGTGTCGGCCATCACCCTCGTCAGCTGTCTTCCTCTTTACATCATCAAGTACCTGAAGAGAAAGTTTTCACCCCCCAGCTACTCCAAGCTGTCCTCCTGAGCCCAGGAGGACAGGGACAGACTTTTAGCTCTCAGTGTGGGGGACAGGTGAGTCCTGCAGGTGACCTGAGACACACCTGAAGAGTCTCAGTTTGACACTCACATGGTTTTTATTTAACGGAGGAAAGTTCAGTGTTGAAAACAGGTTTTAATGAATCAAACAGGTGAAGACATTCAGATATTTAATCTGATTAATCTGATCAGTCAGTATAATCTGGTTAATCTGATTAATCTGATTAATCTGATCAGTCAGTATAATCTGATTAATCTTATCAGTCAGTATAATCTGATTAATCTGATCAGTCAGTATAATCTGGTTAATCTGATCAGTCAGTATAATCTGATCAGACTGATTAATCTGATCAGACTGATTAATCTGATCAGTCAGTATAATCTGGTTAATCTGATCAGTCAGTATAATCTGATTAATCTGATCAGTCAGTATAATCTGGTTAATCTGTGGTCCTGACCCATCAGCTCGTTGTTAATCTGCATCAGATCTGGACCCGTGGATC